ACACTAAAGTTTGGGGTTAATAAGAAACTTTTTTAAAATGACAAAAGTGACAGTAAAGACTTTTACATACCGGTAGTTAAAAAAGTATTTATTTGTGAATAAGTGCCATTCTTTTAAGCTTACTATTCATCAAAAATCCCTAAAAAATTTATCACGGTTTATACAAAAATATTAAGCAGCACTAAAGACCAGAGTAATGGCTCCTGAAAATTCAGCTTTGGCATCACAGGAATAAATTACATTTAAAATATATTACAAAAGAAAACAGAAAAACTGTTTTTACTGTACTTTTTATCAAACAATTGCAGCCTTGGTGAGCATAAGAGACTTCTTTCAAAAACATTACAAATCTTTCCAACCCCAAACTTTCGAAAGTTAGTGTATGAACATTTACACACATATATATGTTTTTTTTAAATAAATAAAAATACCTTGCTCTTCTTCTGAATGGATATTTCTGCTGCAATCTTTCTTTCGGTCTGCCTCCATTCTGGTATGTATCTCCCACTTTTCCCAATCTAATCAATTCCCAATGGATAAAAGTCAAGTCCCACCCAACATGCATCACAACGAAAATACATCACATTACACAAGTAAAATAGGTTGCAAAGGGCAATTCATGTTGACTTTAACTATGAATGAAAGATCTGCAGTCTTCCTGGGGGAACTACTTTAGGACCAAAGCATCCCTAACACATAAACAGTTCACACACACAGAGAGACACACACACACACACACACACACAAGTGAACCATGACCTGAGTGTAACTACCCATCCATCCCGGCTCTTTTACCTGGGTCTTCACTGATCCTCAGGGGGTGGCTTGACAACTCAACACCTCCTAGAAATACCCAATGAAAAACAGCAGAGGAAGAGAGCAAGAGAACTGCTTTTCTCATATGTTTGCATTGTTGGTTTGGCTCCAATGAAAACTGTGTGTTTAGGCTGATGGAGTTATGAATGTTCTTTCTGGATGAAGCCCAGGAAGTCTTTTTAAATATGTTTTTAATGGCTATAAGGCCTGTATTTGTTGGGAGAAGAAACTGTTTGAGTTGGACAGATGAGAGAAAAAAGAATCCGAAATGATAAAAAGACATTTATGTTCAGATTCATATTCAGCATTTATTTCAGATGTATGGCCCATTGTGCCGTGCTTCTCAGAAATGGATGATTTTTCTTTCGTCCCTCTGAGATATTATATTTCAGCTATGTTTGGAATATTATGCTTTTTTGATTCCTCAGCACTTTGTTTTAAATTGGCTCTTTAATTACACTGTAAACATTTCCTAGCATTATCTCTCCATGAGTATTCATGACCCTGTAACTTTTAAGTTAAAATCACAGTGTGGCTAAGGATATGATTTCAGTCAGACCGTTGACTCGTGGGCTTCACTGATGTTTAGATAAACTGCTGCAGAACTGAGCAGGCTTTATTTTTCCTACCTGTGTTTTACTGCTGAGGGGGACACAGATCACAGCCGATGGCACATCCTGTAAGGAAACATGGGGAAGGAGTTTCAGGAGGGCAGGTGGGGGTGGAAGAGGCACACGGAGCTGTGCTTGGGAAACGGTTCCAGAGAGGTTTTTAGAAAGGGAACATAGTCAGAAAAGCCCTTCACTGCTGACAGGAAAGCAGCCGTTTCCTCAGGTGTGAAAATACTCACGTTTTTTCATATCACTTTTTTTGGACTGATGTTTTTACATCTGAGGTGGATATACACATGGAAATACTTTTTAAAAGATTGATGCCCGGTTTCACAGACAAGGCTTAAACCTAGTCCCAGACTAAAATCCATATATCTTAAAATATGGCACTGCCATTGTTTTGTCTCAAGATGCACACCAGTAATGGGTTTTTTTCTAAGGCACGTTTATAAAAGCTACTTAAATGTCCTAGCTGAACTAAGGCCCAATGATTGCTTAATCTAAGCAGCCATAATAATAATAAAAAAAATAATAATAATAAGCTGGATTTTGTATTAGGGGCTGGGGCACAAGAAGGGTTTTAATGTGCCGTGAACATGTGCCCTATAGCTACACCATGTAGTAGTGGTAGTGGTTTATTGATTCATTGATTTTAATGAGACTCTTTGTCTTATGTGTGTTATTTAGACCTGCAGAGAGGTTGTGGTTTATCTTTTGATTTGGGTAAACAGTGTAATTCATAATAGTGGGCTCTTAGTGGTTATACAACAGCAAACATCTTCAGGCAAGAGCTACACTGGCGGGTTTTTTTTTAGATCTGTGGTGACTGGACTTGGATATTTGACTAAATGTAGTTGTTTTAGTCATAAATGCAATTTAGTTAACATGAGTAACAGTTTTAATGATGCCTTAATATTCTTAATAATCTTCTCTCGTCACTAACATTGGATTCAGGATAGAAATAACATGAGCAGACCCAGATCATTTATGGAAACTAATCTGTAAACATGGATCATACAGATACAGACATATTGACACATGACCGGCTCACCTTTATATAACATCAATTCTGTATTTTGAAAGTCTAAGCACTTTGATGAACTGCAACAACTGTGACAATGATATAATTAAATAGGCCATTCACATTTATTTACAAAAAGTCTTAAAAGTATAGTAACAAAATGAAAAAAGTGGACTTTGGGGAAAATAAACAAAATGCTATATGACTTTAACAGTCTTCAAATTTACAGTTTGTAGTATCAGCCACGTTGAACAGTTCGCAATAAGATGTTTTAGGTTGACAAGGTGATTGTTTATTTGAATTCACATACATTTTGAATGGCAGATTTATCACTTCTCATCTATGTTATAGTATATGATGTTTAGTGTAACAGTCATGCGATTAAGTGTCTAAATACACAACCGTATAAAGGCTTGGAGTCAGCAATATTTACATATGTGTGTGTATATTATTGTATTTATATATATATATTAATTTACATGTCTGTGTGTATATACGTAAATATACACAGCCACACACACACATATATATTATATATATATAGATATATAAATGTAATAATACATACACATATTATGTAAACAAAAACGTTTATGTTATGCGATTAATCACGATTAATCGATTTGACAGAGAAAAAAATACAACACGGTTATTTAAAATCGTAATAATAATTCACAGTATTATTGTTTTTATTGTAGTTTTGGCCATATAAATGCAGCATTGGTGATCATAAGAGACTTCTTTGTGTAATGTATATTTATTAAACCATGTACCTTTTTTCTCGAATAGGAAAGTTAGTGTTTGATAAATGAATTGGTGAGCTATATTTATGCCAGACGACATTCACATCGATGTGGTGAATTTAGTGGGTATGAAACCAGGGCAGACAGCAGTTTACCCTCTGAACTGACTCCAAAAGCAGTTCCTCCACACACACAGATGCTTAGAGGACGGCAGTAAAGTCAGACAAAGCTCATGTTGTGTCTGCTTTGGCGGAGTGTGTTTGTCTGGCAGGTCGCTCCAGCAGTCACCAGCGCCCAGTGGGGGACTTTGAGTATCCAACAACACACCGCAGTGTTCCTGTGTTTCTCGACTTTTTTGGAGCAGCACGGTGGAACTTCGCTCTTATTTGGTGACTCGGGTGGCTCGTTGGTTTTGGCGGGTAACGCTGAGGATACGTGCATATGTGTATGCATTTATAGCTGGCCTCTTTCACTGCAGTTACAGAAATAAACAGCACCCACAGACCGACAGACTGCGCACTTTTGTCTCAGCCTGGATTCCTCAGTGGCAGAGATGTGATATTCCTGTGGCTCCGAGCCAGACAGACAGTCATATACCCCTGTCTCCACATTCTCAACATCTCTCTCACTCTTTGTCCACCTTGTCTTATTCATAGTCCCACCCATCATCTGAGTCTCACACACGGATGCAATCATGTGCTCGCCTGCGCTGCCGTGTGCACTCGTTGGCCATGCTCAGTATAAATAAATTCAGACAGGCTTTGCCTGTCTCTGCATCGGTGTACCCTTACTCTCTACTACGCTGGCCTCTATAAATAAACACTCTCATCGCAGGAAGCAAACATTGGAGGCTGCCCTACAGACATTGGCTGGGCTGAGACTGAGATAGGACAGGAAGAGACAGAAAAAATTGTAATGGTTAATGTTTATATATATATATGTCCAGTTTTGAGGCCGTTTCCAGCAGTGACTTCCACTGAACAACTCACAAAGTGTTTTACAATTCAAATGAACCATTGTACAGCCAGGTGTGACGTTGAGAGGGGGTTTTCATAAGCGGATACAACTGTGGAGTAGGTGGTTATAGCATTTCACCTGTTCCAAGCGCTTGTTGTGTCTGTGTAGGTGGAGAAGATGGATTTACTGGAGAGTTAATTATATCTGTAGTGTCTTGTAGCTGTTAGATGAATCAGTGACGCAAAAAGAGAAAAGAAAAGACCCAAGTTTAAAATGCATGCGCCAATTTCCATTTTTCTAACAAAAGTTTACATTTAATGATTCTGAAAATGTCAGCATAAATCCTTACACCTTGATAATACAAATATAAGGACAAATAAAAGAAAGACAGGATTTGTTTATCATACATAAATTATGTTTTTGTTTGTTTGTTTTTGGGGAAATGACATTACAACCAAAAACCTTCCTCACTTTGTCAAAAGTCAAACAATCTTTGAATCGGCATACATTGACTTTGGCAGTTATGATGTCATTGTCTGTTTGGTTTGGTTTGTTGCCATACTACTCAATATGTTTTCCCCCTCAAAAATTTCATTATTTTAATATAAGAATGGATCATTTTAATTGTAAATTGAATACCTAATCAAATTAATAGATCCAGACTAAACAAATGAGATGTCACTCTGCAATTAGGACATTTTTTCAAAATTCTTCCAATTTCCCCTCTAAATCTGCTCAGAAAAATGCAACACATTCTACAGATTCCATCTCAGTTTTCCTTTTATTATTGTTGTTGTTATTGTGCTGGTGTGTGTATGTCATAATACCCATAATAACTAAGCGTGTGTGCAGGTGTACCTGAAGGCTCCTATGATCCTGAATGGAGTGTGTGTGATCTGGAAAGGATGGATTGATCTTCAGCGTCTGGATGGGATGGGTTGTCTGGAATATGATGATGAGAGAGCACAGGTACAGATAAACCACCTTGTGCTGTCAAACTGCCTCTTGTTTCCTTATATGTGCATCAGAAATGACTGACCGCCGCCTGGCTTCCTGTCTTTTTGTGTGTTATACAGCAGGAGGATGCTCTAGCCCAAGCAGCCTTTGAGGAAGCCCGCAGAAGGACTCGTGATTTTGAGGACAGGGATCGCTCGCACCGTGAGGACTTGGAGGTGAGAGCTGGAGTGAGTGAGGATTTGTGTATGAGTGTGTGAAGTTTCGATCAGTTAGTGCATGCCTAAAATCTTTTATTTGATTTTTTTTTTTAGTTGTAACGGAGCTCAGTAGGTCTTAGTTTGTGTGTGTGTGTGTGCGCGTGAATGTGTACATGTGTTTTCCACTTTCTACAATACTTCTGTATGTGCTTTTTTTGCATAATCTTTACCTAATTCCTCTTGCTATTTTGATTGACAGCCACTACCAAAATATATGATGCTTTAAGGAGCAGTTCACTAAAAAATGTTTTAGTATCTCCTGAGCCGAGAGATGATAAAGTGGTGCCACCGGCATCTTTTCTTATGGGTCAAGCCAAAGTGGTAGTGTGAATCTCACAAAATCATGTCTAGATCAGATTTCATCCCATAATAGAAAAACTTAATATTTTGCATAAAGAAAATGAGGCCTATTATTAGGACATTTCTGCATTGCCACATTATTTATTCATTTTCAGACAGGCATTTTCCCCAAAATATGTCATTATTGTAATGTATCCGGACATTTTACTTTTGAGGTTGTTGTTGTAATTCTTATTATTCTCAATGATGATTCCAGTAAGTAATATTTTTATGAACTATTGTAGGGAAGTGTTTTTAATAAAATAAAAGTCATAAAGGCAGGGCAAAGTAACATATAATGTATTTTTATTAATTAAACTTTATTTATTATGCATTACAGTAATGGAAATATATATATATTTTTATATTAAAGGTAAGAACTTTGTATCAAAATATCCGAAAACCACTTGCACAGTGTTATATATTTCTATCAATTGTGTAATTCCATTATCCTAAACGTTTCCAAAAATGTGTAAATTCAGAGAAATTCACAATTTTAAAAAGTGCCCGTCCCTGTTCACTTGTCGCCTGTCAATGACGTAATATCCGCGTTATCCCTGGTTTCCGCTTTTACTGCCATAGTAACCATGGCGACATACGTGGACAACTGCGTAGTGCGTAACGTCTAGCAGCACGCTGTTGTTGTTTCGTTTAAACATTATGGACCATGGCGAGCAGACTTTGGGACAAAAGGAGAACTAAAACGTTCAATATTAGTGTGGACTTGACAGAGCTTCACGAGTCACGACTTGACAGGGACGCCGCTCTTGCATGTACTTTATTAGACAGGTGAGCAAATGTATGTTAAACAAATCAATGTTATATAGCTCGACATGATGAAATGTTAGAATATGATCAGTATGTTATTCTAATGTTGATCTAGCTTACTGCTAGTCTCATATAGGCAACAAATTAACACATAGAATAACAACTTTCAACACAAAGTTCAAAGTTAAATGCTGTTTAGTATGATAGTGTAACGTTAGACCAAGTGAAACAGCGCTGCGTTACCTCAAGTTTAATTCGTCAAATAAACTGACCTGTGTGAGTATTAATTCAGCACTTGCGTGTAGTTCGGTAGAACTAAATGTCCTTATGCCTTTATATCCGCGGGACTCGCGTGTGGCGCTGATATCTGTCTCTTATTTGCAATCGCGACCTGCTTCATACCACAGTCATGTTAAAAAACATGAATGTTTTCACTCATCCATAAACATTATTAGATCCATCAGCATGACAGCAAGTCCCATCATTCCGCTTAACACTGCGTCATCAACCTACGCCTTTGTTATTGTAAGAGGTTAGCAGCGAATAAAAATGACATATTGTAGCTTTAATTTTCATGATTTTTTTCTTTTGTTCCTGATCTTGTTTTTGACCTTTCAATTTTTTTATTTAACCTACAGAATTTAATTAATTCTAAAAGCCATGTAAGAAATTGCTAAAAAAGCATTTTAACATGAAAGTTACTGTCTCTAAAATGATTTTACTTTGGCATTTGTACGTCAAAAAAGGTAGTTGTAAATTCTGTTTCCTTTCAAAATTACACTGCAGGAACAGATAAATAAGTGCCACCTCACATCATTTCTGTCTGTTCCCTGTTCCCTGCATGTTTTGAGTGCTCTTGACGTAGCTAAACAGCTTGTCTGGGGTAATACTGATTTGATCACTTGTCATTTAGCAGATGCCGATGGCACAGCTCAGTCATTTAATAACTCAGGAGGTAAGACAACAATTTAGGATTTTATGTAGTGAACTGCTGCCTTGATTTTCTGTTTACTTATAAATTATTCAGAACAAAAGCATAATGAAGGAGGGCATGTGTGTTTCTTAGTATTTTGTATGTATGCATGCATAAATGTACTCCATGTGAGTTTGTGTACGTGTAAGCTATTGGAGTCCTTTACTTGTTTGCTCATGGCTTAGTGCATGAAGTGTCTTTGCATTGTAAGTCTTCAAATATAATCATTCTACAATCAATCAAAACTGCGCTCTTAAGATGAAAACCAAATTGTGTTTTTTAGGACCCTGTGGCATCAAAAATCTGGGACTGATGGCCTTCAAGGACCAGGGTCTGTCTCCTCTGCTTCTCTCTATCCTTGTGTCATGCACTAAACCGTGTCTGTGTCTGTAAGTGTGTGAACATGAGTGTGTATTTCACAAGAGCATGTGCATGAAAGAGCACCTCTGTGTCTTTATGTATTTTTCTGTGTGTGTGTATTTTCGGTGTCTATATGTGTTAGTGGGTATTGCCTACATGTAGGTGTGTGTAAGTGGGAATTCAGCCTTCTATTAGCAACTTTGGGTCTTATACTGTAAGTGCAAAAAAACACTACCGGTGTGAGAGACCCCCAGCTCGCTCTTCTCAGACCTCTGTAATGGAGACCAGACTTCCATCCCAAGATTCCTCACTGCCCCGCCCACCCACTCCCCTGCTGCAAAGCCCTCTGGGAGCTCTCAGGCACAGCTTGGCAGCACATGACCAGAAAGATTCCCCTTATGAACCGCCGCCTTTATATTCCTCCCTCCTAATCTACACCCTCAGGCGTTCCTTTACACACTCTTCATCCTCTCTTCCAAAATCAATCACGCCAAGGTCTCTTTTTTAAATAGATCTGGCTGCTTATGAAAATCAAATTTCTTACTCATTGCAGTCAGGCGATCTGTGACTCACGGGCCAAATATTTTTTTTCCCTCAAAGCTCAAAGTCACTGTGAGCGGTGGAAAATGAAACCCTGTAATTATTCTATAATTCATGCTTTCTCATCCCAGCAGTGTGGAGTCTGATCCTCGCTTGTTTTTCGAGCTACGCGGTTCGGTCGGCTTTCTTTTGGAAAGCGAATAATCCTTGAGCGTGGATCGAACCCCGAGCCTTCGCGTTACATACGACGCTCGCATAGCTGTGGTCAAACTCCATCATCTGTAATTGGATAAAAACCAGAACAATAGCAGTCTGGATCTGCAGAAAAAACAGTGTTTTCTGGGAAAGTGGGCCAGGTTGATTTTAAAAGGCGAACAATGCATTTAGAGGCTTCAAAATCACTTACGACCTCACTGGAAAAGAGACAAAGGGGAACATTCGCTCTGCGTACGCACTTATTTGTCCTCCGTCTTAATGCGGTTCCGTCACTGTTTGTGTACGCAGGGAGTCCAAGGGGGCGAATCAAAACTGAAAGATATCGAAGAGGGTAATGGCCTTCTGCGTGATAGATGGTAAAGAGATGGATGAAAAATAGATAGGCCATTTTTCATGAAACCCAGGCCTTTACTGCAGGTGGAATTAGAGGATGAGTGATGTTGGGCCAGTGAAAGTATTAATATATCATTAGTATTGATCTTTTTCATTAGCAGCGCTGTCTGCCCAGCAGAATCTAAGCACTATTGACTTGTGGTACAGGAGAGTGCTTCAGCTGGGCTCCGTATGATCGATGCTTCGTCCTCTCATCCACACAAACGTGCTTTTTCAAAGCTTAAATACTAAGCAGCAAACATAAAAATGCTTTTTGTGCTTTATAAAGCCCTAAAGATATATATGACATCTTCTGCAGTTTGATTTGTGCTCTTATTTTTGCCCAGCATTTCGATTATTTATTGCCTTGCTGAAAACAACATCTTACATTCAACCCTAAACTGGTTTGTTGGTCCAACCTGGTCTGGTCAGCCTGGTGTGTTGACTGGAATTTTTCAGCTGGTTAAGGTGGTAGACCATCTGGCCACCCAGCTAAACAACTTAAGAGATCAGATGAAATCAGCTAAGACCAACAAACCAGCTTTAAGCTTTGTGAAGCATTGTTGTGTCACCTTTTACATTCGTTTAGAAATAAAAAAAACATATCAAATAATTAGTCTTGTCAAATAGGATTTTTTTTACTTAATCGCATATAACATAAAAGTTTGTGTTTACATAATATGTGAACGTCAACGTATATATATTATTTTATATATATTTTATATATGTAAATGTCTATGTGTGTATTTACTGTATACACACATATTTATACATATATATATATATATATATATATATCGCAAATATATTATGTAAGCACAAACTTATGTTAGATTTGATTAATTGTGATCAATCGATTTGACAGCACTAAAAATAATACAATGTTATAAACAATATTATAAAACAATGATATTATTTTTATATAATTTATATTTATTATTATTTATATAGTAAAGTTTGGGAGTGGATTGATTGTTTTGGGATCAAAACTACAGTAAAAACTATAATAATGTTAATTATTGTTACAATTTAAAATAACAATTAAAACATCAAAGTTGTGCTGCTTAATTTCTTTTCTTTTTTTTGTGTGAAAATCGTGATAAAATTTTTTTTCTGGATTCTTTGATGAATAAAAAAATTCAAAAGAACGGCATTTATTTGAAATAGAAATCTTTTGTAACATTATAAATGTCTTTACTGTCACACTTGCTCAGTTTAATGTCCTTTTTGAATAAAAGTATTAATTTCTTTAAAAAATATATCTTTGACCGCAAACTTAGTGGATAAATAACAAGCAGTCAGGGCAGTGCATTGCTAAATACGTTTGATTCTGCAGTTCACCAAATTTGTAAATGGCAAGATAATGCTTAATATTTACAGTGCGTCAGTGCACCAGACTGCTTTGTGCTGTGCGTATGACAGCTATAACAGCTTGATCTGTTAATGGATACGCTTAAAGATGGGATTGCCAGGCGTTGGGTCGAGTAAAAACAGCATTGCGTAGCTCAAGGGTTAGAGCGTGCTGTAATCGCCGCTTCCATGGATGATGACCTCACACTATGTGAGATACACTATGTCTGCCTCTTCGTCTATCTTTCTCTCACCGCCTGCCTGTCTGTCTGTCTGTCTGTCCGTCTGCGCTCAGACATCTATGTCAGGGAGAGATTTAGACACATAAACATATGTATCTGTGACAAGGCCATCAGTCATATCTTTATTTTTAAAGCTAGTGATTTGAAGACTTCCCCCTGACTAATGACTAATGTCTGCCACTTCAACCAAAAAAAGAAGCTCAATTTTTAGCGTCCCGAATGAAGTTGATCTCTGCCGTCCTCTGCTGGACACGGAAAGCAAGTGCATGTGGGCTGCAAACTTTTCTGCTCACCCTGTGTTTGTTTGTAGATTGAGAACTAACATGTCAGAAAATAACTGTACTCTGTCTCTGTCCTGGTGTGTGTGTGTGTGTGTGTGTGTGTGTGTGTGTGTGTGTGTGTGTGTGTGTGTGTGTGTGTGTGTGTGTGTGTGTGTGTGTGTGTGTGTGTGTGTGTGTGTGTGTGTGTGTGTGTGTGTGTTAAGCAGGTTTTTCACAGTTTTTTGCTACATATTCTACTCTAAAACATTTTTCAATCATTAAAAGTTTCAAATGGCCAAATATCACATTTTGCCACCTACATTATTCCCCTTTTTCTTTTCTTTGGTTTTTGATTAGATTTTGACATAAAACTCCCTTTATTCAATATAAAATCACAATGAATTTATACAGTTTGTCATTATGAACAAAGTAATACCATATGACTCTAATAAAAGTTTTTTAACCTGAAAAATAAATGGCAATATTAAATAAGAGTAATGTTTGTAAATCATTCATCTATTATTTCCAGACAGATCTAAAGATCCTGAACTTTTAATATCTGACTATGTTATAGTATATGCAATTGACCGTTTGCAAAGACCCGCCCCCTTTAGTTACTGTTGCTATGTCCGACAAGCCACGCCGCTCTCACGCAGTGAAAAATACATCGCGGAGCAGAGAGGACACTGACAACGCGCTGACAGACAGGACAGACCAGGTTACTTCTGATATGAAACAATGAAATTTAAACAATACATACCGTTTTGTGGCTCTTTAATGTGTCTGACAGATCGCTGTAGAGCACCAGTTAAAGCTGCTCGTGAACCGATCATCTCTTCCTTCTAGTTAATTTATAGCATCAAATAAACATAAATGAACATCAGAAGCAATGCTGTTTTAACCACGGAAAGACGTCAGTACCATTTTTCAAGTTCAAATCCTCCAACGTTAATCTACTAACTCTCCTGACTGCTTTGTCGGACAAAAATGGCGGCTTCGGCGGATGGCGGATTATGATTGGTCAGATCGCCTGTCAATCAAACTCCCTGCGAAGGGTCAATTGCATGTGGGCTGCAAACTCTTACTCTTATCGTGTTTGTAGTTTGGGAACTAACATGTCAGCGGGTCAATCACAGCACAACCATTTTAACTATATTTCTGTCTCTGTCTCGGTTTGTTTGTTGGGGTGCGTGGGTGTTTGTGCACGCATTTGCATGTGTGATTGTGTGTGTGACCCAGCCCAGGCGACAGCAGGACCCCAGCCCTGGCTCCAACATGGGCAACACTGATGATCACAAGATGCGCTAGCGGCATTCACCAAAGTGGGCAGGGATGGGGTCACAAGACCTCCATCACCACAGCAATCTCATCTCCTGATGCCTTGTTTATCACAGGACAGACCAAAGTCCACACCGGTGGGGATTTTCGGGTGGGATGTTTGGGGAAACGGCCTGGTGAAGGGGCTGGGTGGGTTGGGCTGGGCTCAGAGATTCATTCGCATTTGATTCAGTCCCTCGTTTCTTCTTGGGATTTTTGCACTATGTGATACGTTCAGTTTAAGTCCCCCATATCGCCTTTCGGTATGCATGGTTTCCCTACCTATGTTTGCTCTTGTTCCCCCCCTATGCAAGGCATCTTATTTTGTCCCATTGTAATGAAATGGCATTTTTTCAATTATTTGATTCGTATTGTGTGTGAAAGTCAGGATGTTTACTTTTTTGTATTTTCATTTCATTTCTATATAAACATGTCTGTCTTTGTGCTACTGTACGTAGTAGAAGCTAGTAAATGTTGCTAGGTAGATTTGTGCAGTAGAATAGAACTTTTTTGATGTCTAAAAAGAAAAATCTAGAAAGAGGCTGCTGATGTTGTGGATGAGGAGGTCTTTTCTTCTCCATGTACTCTGTCTTCCACTCTCTTCCTGTGACAGTCAGTTAAAACATGCTTCAAACAGCAGGAAGTGAATATTGAGGTCAGTGTTAGTGCGCTTTACACAAAATGAGAGTTTTTCGCCCTACATCTGCTTGTTCTGTCATTAATGTCAATGTTCTACACGTTTAGTTCGTTTTAAGCAGGCTTTTCATAGTGTTTTGCTACATATTCTAATTTACTCTGGACTTCTTGAAATTATTATTATTTTTCAGTCATTTCAAATAATTCTCCAAAATGGAGAAAGTTTCACTTCACCAAATATCACTTCTTCTTCTATTTTTTTTTTGTCACCTACATTTTTTTATTTTTTTTTATTCATTGGTTTTTAGTGATATTTTGACATGAACACTCCTTTCATTAATATAAAACCACCAGGGGAATTTAGGCAGTTGTTTGTCATTATAAACAATGCCATTTGCAATATATGCCAGATATGACTCAACCCAAGGAGACCCAAAGAATAAATGACAGTGATATTTGTAAATCATATATATCACTCCTGAACATTTAATATCTGACTCTGTTGTACTGTATATGCAAGTTAATATAATCATGAATTCACAGACCCTGTGATAGAATGTTATTTTCCACCAGGTCAAATAGAGGAACTTAGTGCGTCCCCTCGTTGAAAGGTCCCGGTTTCGCCCCCTCCCTGACGAAAGCCCTGTTTGAGATGATGTAGTGTTTTGGGACAGTCAGTGTAGGTGGACTAGATGTTATTTCTAAAAGGGAACATTTCTGATAAACAGAAAAGTAAGTAGGAAAGGAAAGACAGGTTAGAAACCAATTGCTCAAGGTACTCTATCATAAATGAACAACAAATGGAAGCAATCATAAATTGACCTCTTCTGACAATTGATTTTGTATAATCAATGTTTAACATAATTGTGTATGTTTTTTGTTTTATTCACCACAGTCAGTGGGGTAAGCATTATTATTTGGGAGGGATGCTGAAGTCAGAAGGTACGGCCTACCTCTAGCTTAAACCAAATATACACAAATGAGAGCTTATTTATAAGGAGCAAGTTCATGTTGTCTGAGTGTTGAGGGAAGGCTAATGCTGGTTTAGTAGAACGTTAAAGCTTTATATAGATGGAGTGGGCTTTTATACCACACAATGGTCAGAGACTGGGCACCAGGAGGTTATTGAGGTCTGGATATATTTTGAAGATGCCAAACCAGAGTCCACAAAACAGAATCTTGCTTTAATTTAATCCTACAGATCAACTCTGCTTTCTAGGTGTGTCTTATGCTATCAAAGAAATACCCTTTGCTGGCCTTCTATTAGTTTCTCTCTCATCCCTTTACTTAATGCTGGCATTAAGGCAAAATACACACCAGGTAGTGGATGGCTCTTTTTTTGTAATGAATTAATAAATAAAATGTTTATTTTCTTAATTGTTTTAAGTTATTGATGCAGGTATACCTTTGTTTCATTATCAGGTTCCGCTATGATGAAATGTGTATTTCTGTATTGATATTGCTTTCGTTTTCCCCTTGGCCCCTTAAGGAACTGGGGATGCTTTTATATGGTCTTTGGTTTTAGCTCTTTTTCTGTTTTTAATTTTAAGCGAGGAGGACTGTTAACTGAAGTGTTATGTTTGATTTGTTTCTTAATAAACTTGTTACAAACCATATTCCTGCTCATTGTAGTGTGTGTGTGTGTGTGTGTGTGTGTGTGTGTGTGTGTGTGTGTGTGTGTGTGTGTGTGTGTGTGTGTGTGTGTGCACGTTTATTTTTTTCATGCAGTCCAATGACAAAATGATTTTTTCTCTGACATGTTTTTTTTATAATTATTAACTAAATTTAAAAAATATATATTTCAAATACAATAATTTAGTATTATTCATTAACCTAAAGTCCTGAAGGCATTTTTAGAGTTGTTTTTTCTGAGTGACATACACAAATGTAAAGACTCATAACTCCATAAACTAAAGCAAGGAGAGTCAAAAGGTAGGTATCGTTTGATAAAAAAGTCATTCCATTTGGATTTTTGACTAATTTTAATCGTGAGAATCTGCTGTAAATAATGACGTGCAATTCAAATGCACCCTTCAAAGGATGAAGCCTCGGATGCAGCATTTGAGTATTGAGAAGCACCCTATGTAGCCGTTCGGAACGTGTGTACTTGGTGAAGGGAGCAAGTAAAGACAACATAATTTCCTGATTATCTTCACCTGGAATGTTACCATGACAATGGCGCCAATCACCCCATAGACCTAATTCACAGCAGCGTCATCTTGGATTTGTAAGGGCTGGGAGGGATAGACATACATCTCTTCAGTGTACTGTTATTTAATGTGTTTTTGGATTGATCTGCTGAAGAAACACTGGAAGAATATCTTTCGAAGAAATTTCAGTGAAAAAAAAAGCTGTGGAAAATTACAAGTGATCTAGGAGCTTTTTACAGCAGATGCCATTGAAAACACGTTAGGTCTCTCCCTCACAGCCTCGCTTTCATACATGGCGTTGCTCTGAATAAGACTATAGCTGTACTTACAACAGGAATTTCTTATTGCTGTTAAATAATTGTTGCAAATAAATGACGTACACTTTATAATTAAGTATTTTAAATACGTGTTATATATATAGGATATATATATATATATATGTGTGTGTGTGTGAGTGTATTCCCTCTCTGTTCTCAACTTCACATGTGGCAAAATGTCACATTTACCTAACATTTCTACTATACATTTTTTTTCTTACTTATGAAACTTCATTAAACTTTATATTAAATGTATGTCATCAATGTGTATGATACATCACAAACAAAACAACGCAACTTAAATGATTCTGTTCATAGAACGTATTCATAGCGCGTGTTGTATTCTGTCTTCCGGTTTGTATTTCCACAGTTTGAAGGTAAGATCTTACGGATTTATGAATGATCCGCTCGTTTTAAAATCTTCCCGGTCTAACTGACATTTGTTATGACATCCACTTCAAACATTACAATGCTCATGATAACTTTTGTTAACTCTAAAATAAGTAAATCCACTTCACCAGCTAATTATTCCTCGACAGCGATGCCATAGAAATATACAGAGCTACCGCAAAGACGGAAGTTCAAACACGATATACTAAAGATGCGCTTGTTTCTCTGGCGCAATTACTTCCTTGAAGTGACCATCGCATGTATCCTTCGCTAACAGATTTGTAGGAAACTTTTATTCTAACGTAACATTTCTTGTCAGCCTCCGTTATGAGGTAAAATACTACAACTTTCTTAATTAACTTCAATGAACGCATAACTTTGATGTTATCAAGTCTCGATTTTGGAAGTTTTAAGACTCTTTTCAAATGCATAAAAAAGGATTGATGTTCCATTGAATGCTAAAGTTTTGAAGTCTGTCGTACGTATGCACCTGACTAGAGCAGTGATGATGTTTATTTCATAAATCCCCTGGATACATAAAATAGTCAAATCTACTAATTCAGTTTTGTAATATAGGGTCTTATTGGAGACATACTTGTAAGCACACCGTTGAGAAACACCGTGTTTATCTGGGTCAAAGACCAGTGAAGCCTTGACTGGCCCAGTCAGATTTCCAATTCTAATAGAGATCTCTTCACCCCAGACTGTGGCTGTAAGCTTCAACTGTTTTACGAGCTGTTTCTTATCTACACTCCACAACCAGCCTGAAGGAATCCGACTCTGTTCAGTCAAGCATCCAAACAGGCACAGCATCAAAACACTCTCTATCACAAGTTTAGTACGTTTGCGATGCATATAGATATTAAAAGATGAAAGCTGTATGTATCAATATATTTTAGATGGCATTTTTCATATGGATACTTTTTTAAAGTATATTATGTTCCATGTTTTTGATCCGAGGAGAGTCTCTTCATCTTATTAATAGTCTTTGTCAACAAACTTGCTTGATCTTTAGCCTCTTTGAACCAATGTGATTTGTGCACTCTTCATCTGACAAAGCTTTTAGGCAGTAAATATTGCAAAGGGGAACAGAAGCTTTTGATTCTTTGTTCTGTGGCTCTTACAAAAACAGTCATAATTGTTTTATGGACTGGAACTCATTTTTTTCCAGCCACTTCATTGCCTGCAGTCATCCTGACCTCTTCTCTAAAAGACAGTAGACGTGTATTCATACAGAAAAACAACATCAACCAAAAAAAAAAAGTTTTTGAGATGGAAAAATAATAAAGCAGCAAAACAGAGATGCAAAATCAGCTCATCTTTATTTTATTATGTCTATACTGTTCACTGTAGCCACTGTGCTAGATCAAGCTGATCTTGAGGCAGTGAAAGGAATTATTTCAAGGATTCAGAAAATGTTGCTAGAAAATATGTATATGCAAGGCAAACACCCAATCATGCAGTATTATTAATCGTTACATTAACATTTTTAAATCTAAAAATGCTGAAGTTTTCTGTGATGGGTAGGTTTAGGGTTAGGGGATATACAGTTTGTACAGTATAAAAATCATTGTGAAATGTCCCCATAAAACATGAAAACCCAACATATGTGTGTATAATTTTAAGCATATATTTTTATATTATACTGTCTTTGTATATTATATTATTGATAGGTGTCTTCTCTGTATTTTAACAATGAAAGAAAATGTATTAACACACTGTAATTGCAACATGCAATTGTTACCATAAAGAACTACTTCTACCTGATTTAACCAATAAAAAATGAATTCTGTTGGTTTAAATGTTTATGTATCATCTGTTACCATTTTTTCAGTGTAACATTCAGGCATGAATTGAGTTGCATAACTCTATATACCACTAGATGTCAGTGTATTAGCAGCGATGAAGAATTTATCAGCTCAGCAGGAACGAGTGGCTGTTATTTATATAGTATACAATATTCCTGATTGATCCATTAAGCAGATCCAAGGACTATAGAAATGGCTTTTCGGATATGTATAGATCACAGTGGAGTCTGTTTTGTCCAGTCCTACTTGATTCACAATAGCATTTTGTTACCCAACAGCAAAGTGGCACAGTCGGACAGAATTAAGAAGAGAACTGCTCTCTCACTCTCCATCACCTTCACTCACCTTTTCTCTTTGAATGATCCTCAGCTATTATCTGTATATTCATACTATATTCAGTGTAATATATCAATAGTCCCCCCCCCCCCCCCCCCCCCAAACATTCAGTGATAAAAAAAAGACATACATTTGCATAAATCGTATCACCTATTCTTTTATATCCATCATGT